TCATTTTTTATTTTGTATATAAATTTAAAATTTATATTCATTTATTTTCATTGTGTATATTTTTTATATTTGTAACAAAAATATAATGAACAAAAAAGTATTATGCTAAATCGTTGAATTGATCTGCATTTAATATAATCAAATATTTTATTATTTAAACAAAAAAGAACTAAAAAGTATATATATATATATATATATATATATTAATATTAGAAACACGGTCATTAGAAATAAAATGCAATTAGAATATTCTGTTTAATCAAATTTTAATTTTTGATAATTTCAGAATGTTTAATTAAGCACATAATAGACCCATTCAGAATGTTTCCAACACTGCAACACATTTATATTGTGAAGACAATGAAAGCTTATATTATTTTCTTTTTCTGTCTTTTGAATTTAAATGTAATTGTTTTGTCCAAATCATCTCATCCCAATGTGCTGACAGTGACACAGCTCAGTAGCTAACGCCATGACAATCTCAAATTAAGAAAACGATATATTGGATTCACATGTTCCCTTATTTTGGGTTCCACCGAATTAAATGGCCAACTCATATATACGTGGAATTGAGTCAATTGACAACGCACGTTTTGTTTAATAAAATAAAATAAACCATAAAAGAAAAAAAAATAAAACTAACTAATATAAAGGAAAATGAAGAAAAAGATTACTAAAAATGAAAGCATAAACCCAAGTTGACTAGTCTAAATCTTTCAACACAACATCATGCACTTGCCCAACGTAACTTGTTAGTGTTGTATTTTTCCTTACTTAACCATTCCCAATCCCAATTAACTTGGCCCCCATAAAAACCCACTAACCTCACTTCTAAAAAACATTACAAGTTGCATCATTTGCATTCGGAGAAGAAAACATAAGAAACGGCAACAACATCTTGAAACTACATCAAACATCATTAACACAAAACACCACTGTTATCTTAACCTTTAATGGCAACTCGCGTGATTCCTCCAAGAATTCTCAAGAAAATCCGTTACAACACAACCACCAAGACACTCAACTCCCCTCGTCTCCCTTCCCTCTCTCCCGCCGCCGCCGCTGCCGTAGTTCCTCCTTCACTCATCGAGAAACCGCCGTCCTCCGCCTCCGTGGCTCCTCCGTCTTCTTCCGTTAACTTGGAAGACGCGGAGAAGCTGTTCTCCTCCGTGCCAACCTCCAAGCTCCTCCGTTCCTCCGCCGTGCTCCACGCCACCGCGGTGGGGCCCATGGTGGACCTCGGAATGTGGGTCATGAAGTCCAAGCTCGTCCAAAGGGAGGGAATGTCTAAGGATCTTGTGACGGCCACCATTCGAAAGACCTTCTACGAACACTTCTGTGCCGGCGAGGATGCCGCCGCCGCCGGCCGGAGCATACGGTCGCTGAACGAGACGGGGTTACGTGGCATGCTGGCTTATGGGGTTGAAGATGCACACGACAACGATGGATGTGACCGTAACTTCAATGCATTCATTCACACCGTTGATGTTTGCAGATCGCTTCCACCATCTTCTGTAAGCTTTTCACCTTCACCGTTACTTTGTTGTATTTATATGCAATTATATCACAATGTGCAAATTAGTATCTATAATTAAAGGGAAATATTACTCTCATGTCAGATGATAGTTAGTTTTTTCATGCTATAGAGAGAATTCAAGTGGGTCCACCAATAAAAAAAAGAAAAAAAAGAGGAGGGTGCGATTTTCGAAGTGAGAGAATATGAGATAACTATCTCATGAAAAGATGAGAGTAGTATTTTCCATAATTAAATTAACATTTTTATACAGATTAATGTTTCTGTAATTTTTTATACGAATTAGTATCTATAATTAAATTAATGTTTCTCATATTTTAAAAAATAATTTTATTTTCTATATATATAAATATACATATAAAAGGTGTGGACCTCATGTGAGCCCATTGAAAAGAAAAGAGAGTAAAACAAATTGTGTGTTACAAACACTAATCCCTTAAACTATTTATCACTGAAAAGTGTAAAATATTTATGGATATAAAGATCGGAAAAATGTTATATTTATAAACTTTTTTGTTTACAAACTACATTAAGTATGACCGGTCATATTTTATAGTATATGACAGGTCATACTTAGTGTAGTTTGTAAAAAAAAATTATAAATGTATCCTACCCATAAAAATTTATATATTATTTAAGGCTTTAATGTTTCTATAGTGAACGTAGATGAATTATCTATATTCGCTTCCAAAACGATATCGTTTTGAGTTAAAAAATTAAAAAATTATAATGAAAAAGACTATTATAACTTTGAAATAAATTATAATTACAAAAATACTTTGATTTCCGCCTCAAAACAATGTCGTTTTGGACTCAATGGAGATAATTGACAATAGAAAAAGCGAATCCATTATTTAATACAGATAACTTGAATATAAATGAAAAAAACACTTGCATATATTTCGTATGTTTAACTTAAATGTGCTAGATTGGGCGCGGCGTGTCTTGTTGTTTTGTGTGGTTCAGCATTGCAGTAAGAGATGCCAGTTAAGGTTATGCTACCCTTTTTGTTTTGTTTAGCAATTTTTTTGATATGATGTATTATGGTGGGTCCCACCCAACCAAAGAACAATGAGGATGACAATTTTGTAACGTTACCTCTGCAAACGAACATCATCTTCTCTCATGTCGTGGCTTAAATGAAAATTGGCAACTAGTGTTTAAATTTGAAGTTTCTCTTAGGAGAAAACTTGATGCCGTGTCATGTTACAGTGCTTGAAATCGAGTATGGTTTAGTAGTTTGCTCATTTTCATCTGTTTTTTTGTGTGTGGTATAGTATTTAACTAATGTGTGCAAATTGAAAATTTGATATGACAGATGAGCTTTGTCATTGTGAAAATCACTGCAATATGTCCGATGGCGTTGCTAGAAAGAGTTAGTGACCTATTAAGATGGCAACAAAAAGACCCTTCATTGGTTTTGCAATGGAAGCAAGATTCTCTTCCAATTTTCTCGGAATCCAGCCCTTTATACCACACTCAGAAAAGACCGGAGCCTCTAACCATAGAAGAAGAGAGTGATCTTCAACTTGCAAATCAGAGACTACTTGAACTTTGCCAAAGATGTGTACAAGCCAATATTCCATTGTTGGTTGATGCTGAACACACTTGGGTTCAACCAGCTATCGATTACTTCACATACTCTTCAGCCATCATGCACAACAAAGATGACAACCCCATTGTGTTTGGAACCATTCAGACTTACTTAAAAGATGCCAAGGAGAGGTTGTTGCTTACAACAAAGGCAGCAGACAAAATGGGAGTTCCATTAGGATTCAAATTGGTAAGGGGTGCTTACATGTCCGCAGAAACTAAATTGGCTGAGTCTTTGGGATATGCATCCCCAATTCACAATACTATTCAGGATACACACAATTGCTACAATGACTGCTCATCATTTATGCTTGAGAAGATTGCCAATGGACCTGGTTCGGTTGTTCTTGCAACTCACAATGTTGAATCAGGTACTTAGATATATAGAATTGAAGTTATTCATTTTTAGATGATTTATAATAGGGTTTTATAAGAGTTATGTTGTAGGAAAAATGATTGTGTAATGTTATAGAGATTCGTTTTGCGTGTCGTAGTTTTTTTTTTTTTTTTGCTTCAAAAAGTGTGGGCCCCACAAAATGTTTTGTGTGTGTAGGAAACTTTTTTGTGTCATGTTAAATGATAAATGCAAAACCCTTTATAATATGAGGAAACCCAACATCTTAGTTCCTGTGTCTAATAAGACATGAAAATGCTGTACAGGGAAATTGGCTGCGGCAAAAGCACATGAATTGGGGATTGGAAAGGTGAACCATAAGCTAGAATTTGCACAATTATATGGAATGTCTGAGGCACTTTCCTTTAGTTTGAGCAATGCAGGGTTTCAAGTCAGCAAGTACATGCCATTTGGACCGGTTGAGATGGTCATGCCTTACCTTCTAAGAAGGGCTGAAGAGAACAGAGGGCTCTTGGCTGCTTCAGGCTTTGATAGACAACTAATGAGGTAAAATAAAATTTTCTTTCATTAACCTCTTAGCCCGTGACGTAGGTAAAATTTGCTTGACATTATGCTAACAATGGTCTTTTCTTTTTATACAGAAAAGAGTTGGGAAGGAGACTAAAAGCTGCTATATTTTGAAGGCAATAATCATGTCTTGTATGCAGGCAGGCAAGAGGATTTGATAACCTTTGTACAAATTAGAGAATTTTGTAATCTGTTGAAATTGAGTATTTGATGAAATGAAATCTGCATTATTATGGTATATTTGTTGGAAATATATAAAGATGGGAATGATAGTCATAAAACAATGATAATCATAAAGCAAATAGAAATAATGACATGAGAAAAGAAAAGGAGCTTTACAACTTGAGAGATAAGTAATTATTCGAACTTCTAACAATTTGTCCAAGTAATACATTGAATTGCGATGGTTGATTCGTAAAATATTAGATTATTCTTACTGATTGGTGTGTTTGAGAGTAGAGCATCTTAGTAAATTGGAAAGGTCCAACGATGGGAAAATTAGAGAAACAATAGTTGTTTATAAGGTTTATTATAGCTTACCAAATAAAACTTTTTAAGATAGACAACATAAACAAGAGCCTAGCTAGCTTAACTATTTTCTCTTAGGGGCTGTTTGGTTCAGGAGAAGTGTTAATATCCCCAGCAATCTTTGAGTGGGAATCAGTGGTAGCATTGTTTGGTTTAGGAGAATCAAAAATTTTCCCAGCTTTCACGGTTGCCTAGCCATCGTCCTTCGCGTGTAAAGAAGTAGGAAACCAAAGTTAACGTCGTATTCTGAGAAGCATACCGAAATGGCAAAAAGTGATGCACTTTTGTGACAAAACTACCCTAAGGAATAGTGAGCAAAGTACATACACAACCACACCATCATCTGTGAGAGAGAGAAAGAGAAGAAGCGAAAGAAAAAGAAAGAAAAAAATGTGCATTGCGCTTTCCAAAAACAAGAGAATAATGTTAGAGGGTCTTGTTTTTTGCGGAACAATGCATGGTCACAGTGACATGGTGACAGCCATTGCTACTCCAATGTACAATAATAACTCAGAGATAATAGTAACATCATCGCGTGACAAATCGATCATCATGTGGGATCTTACCAATAAGGACGACGACAACGACTACGGTGTCCCCCGTCTCTGCCTCACCGGCCATTCTCGCTCCGTTCAGGATGTCACCCTTTCCTCCGACGCACAATACGCTCTCTCCAGCTCCTCGGACGGCGAACTCTGTAACATCCCCGTCTCGAGCCGGTTCAATTAACATACATATGATACAAACAGAAACAACGGAAGACTTAACTTACGAAAATACGAGCTAACTTTTTCTTTTATTTTTCATTAATCTTAATTTACATGATATCTCACATTGCATACTTCACATAATTTAATTTGTATTTGACGAAGACGAAAATCGGGCAGAGTAACCTCTGTAAATTGGACAACTAGAGATTTGCCAATCCCACTCTCAAAGGTTCCTGATAAACAGTTTATACCATATATAATTTCAGAAATACCAGATATCGATAAAGGACTATATACCCATCCATGGGTGCATGCATAACTGGCTCTGTGCCACTATGTCTAACAGCATACATATCTCAGCACATTCATATATCTGAAACCTCTAGCCATGGTAGTGTCCTTGTCCCGTAAGGCTCTCCGGTTAACTGTTTCCTGAAATCATATCCCCCAAACGGGGTTAGAGACGAATCTCTAGTAAGCTCCAGGTTTATAGAGAACTCCCCATACCCTGGGCTCACTTCCTGCATGACAGTTAGATACATAATATACAAAACATCATATATCATACTATACTGAACATATCTCATATAACATATCATGAAATCCAATATCATAACTAAACAAAGCATATACACAAATCTTATCAGAGACGTACGTAGTCATTCCCAAGGGATAACCTCGAGCGGAAATCAACGCACGTAACAAATATCTTTTACAAAAATCATCACAATACTCACATCAAAACAAAACATGTTATCTCAGAGACATACGCAATCATTCCCAAGGGATGACCCCAAGTGAAAATCAACGTACGTAACAAATATCCTTTACAAAAACATTACAATAATCATATAAGAACAAAACATATCATATAAGAACAAAACATATCATATCAGAGATGTACATAGTAATTCCGAAGGGATGACCCCAAACGGAAATCATCGTACGTGTTCCCAAGGGAGGACCCCAAGCGGAACCAGAACATATCAGAGGCGTACACCGTCAATCTCAGGGGAAACCCCAAGAAGACATCAGTGTACTATACAATCAATGGTCAAAGATTAATACAGAACAGAGTGTACACAATCAATCCCAAGGGAGGACCCCAAGCGAAAATCAGTGCACATGCTCCCAAGGGAAGACCCCAAGCGAAACCAGAAACATATCAGAGATCATTACAAAAATCACATCAAAACATATCAAATCACATCATCATATAGTTCTATATGAATGCATCTATATCATATATCTCATACATATCATACAACCTGACCACAGTCCGTACACTATGGCGGAACACAAAGTAGGAGCGAACCCCATAAACATAGAGCTTACCTCTCAAAGCTGTATAGATAGTCTACCCGACAACCGAGTTACCAAGCCTCCTCTGATGTAGGATCCTCAACAAGACTCTTAGGCGCACCTAAAATAGAGAATCCATACAAATATCAATAAAATGATTCAAAGCCAAGTTGTTAACCAGACACACCATTTTTGATTTCATCTTTTACTTATCAAATATTTCCTAACTATTAATACATACGGTACTGTTCATTTCTACAGTACTATTCATGTATACGTCATTATTCACGTATACGATACTATTCATGTATACGTTACTATTCAGGTATACAGCACTATTCACGTATACAGTATACTGAATTTTCTAAATACATTTTCACTGTTAAGATTCTCATCTGAACACTTTTCTCAACATGAGCTAAGCCTCAATCAAACTCTAACATGCTCAATCAAACCAAACTTTCAAAATGCAAAACTAAATCAAATATTCCTCAAAACTCAAAGAAAACTAGGATTTCTCAACATAAACTTACTTAGAACGAAGGGGAAAGCTTACTTCAAGCTCTCATGGCTTCAAGCTCCATCAAAATCACCATTTTCCATGAAATCCGAATTTTAGAGGAAGAAGATCTCTCTACACAGTGAAATCCACCCAGAAATACTAGTACCAATGAATTTCTCTCGAAATTTCTCACAAGGTTAGCTTTAGAACGGAGTGATTTGGAGGTCTCTAGCTCAAGTTATGAATTTTGGAAGATTTTTATTCAAAACCTCCAATTTCAATCTCTTCGCTTCTGTCTCTCTGTCGATTACGCGAGGAAAACGCAAATTTAAGAAGATGAATAGTGACTCATTAGTCACTTAAGTCAGTTCACTTTACTAGAGGGTATAAGTTTATCTATCTACATACCTTCATTCATTACCAAACTTCACCCAATAGACTAGAATATTTTTCTAGTCACTTTTCTATATGTACTTTCACTTTTTGGATAACTTTATTTACCCGCATTTTTTCCACTTAACTGTCATTTTAACTCCTTTACAACCAAAGGTGACTTTATTTCTTTTTCTTTATAATTATCCTTCTATTAAATCTATAATAAAATGTGAGTAAGGGTGTTTATCAACCGATCCAAACCGCGAAAACCGAACCGAAAAATCGATAACCGAATAAATCGAAAACCGAAAAATCGAAAACCGAAAAAAAACCGCAAATTTTAATTGGATTGGATCGGTTTTCGGATGGGTTGATGAAAACTGATCCAATCCAAACCGATCCAATATATTAATTATCCTCTACATACTTGTCCTTTCTCCAATCATAGCCCAAAAATTTCTAAACTCAAGACCCATTAACTCATCAACTAAACCCACGAAAAAACTTAGTCACGTCTCATCAACTATAGTTTTGTTTACTGATATTTTTGTATTTCAATTTTTTTTTTACAAAGCCAATATTTACAAAAGATGTTATTTGCACAATGATCATGAAACTAATTTTAGGATATTCAAAAAACCGAAAATCGATCCAATCCAAACCGAAAAAATTGGATTAGATCGGATCAGATTTGAAAAAAAATCTAAACCGAATGGATGATTACATAATCAAACCGAAGGGATTGGATCAGATGAGTTTTGCTTCCAAAACCGATTCAATCCAGACCGCGAACACCCCTAAATGTGAGGGTCATTATATTCACCCCACCTTTTAAGGATTTTGCCCCCAAAATCACACATATAACATAACACATATTTGACGTCAAACTCAGGATAACGCTGGAGAATATCATTCTCTCACTCTCAAGTAGCGTCCTCAGAAGTCAAACTTTCCCATTGTATCTTAACCAATAACCATGTTCCTCAATACTTTCTCATCGTGAACCAGAACTTTCAGTGGTCCCACAACAAACTTCAAATCTTTCTTTACCTCCATTTCGTCCTGTTGGGCAATGTGGGACACATCAGATACATATCTACAAAGCTGACTGATGCGAAAAACATCATGCAGATTAGACAAATGTGCAGGTAAGACAAGCTGATACGTCACAAGTCCGACCCTCTTTATTATCTGGTAGGGCCCTATGAACTCGGACTCAATTTCCTCATTCCAAGAGCACGCCCAACACCTGTAGTCGGAGACAAATTAATAGACACATGATCCCCTTCACAAAATTCAAGGGATTTATGTTTCACATCATAATAACTCTTTTGGAGGCTCTGCACTTTCTTTAATAGATTCTTAATCATAGTAATATGATCAATAGTCTATTTGACCATATCAAGCCCAAATAACTATCTTTCACCAATTTCTGACCAACAAGTAGGCGCTCTGCACCTACGGTCATACAAAACCTCATAGGAAGCCATGCCCAAACTGGCATGATAACTATTATTATAGGAAAATTTCACAAAGAGGTAGAACTTATCCCAAACAATCACCTACTCTAAGGCACAAGCCCTCAACTTGTCCTACAAGGTCTGAATGATCCTCTTTGTCTGACCATCAATCTGGGCATGATAAGTCGTACTCAGTCTCAGCTGCGTACCAAACGCCTGCTACAATACTCCCTAAAATTGAGAAGTGAACTTAGGGTCCCGATCACTAATGATGCTTTTTGGAACACCATGAATTTTCACCATCTCTTTTACATATAATCAAGCCAACTGCTCAATAGAGAAACTCATCTTGACTGGAACGAAATATGCAGACTTAATCAATCTGTCTACCACAACTCATATAAAATCAAAACCAGCCTAAGTTCTCGGCAATGCTACTACAAAATCCATAGAAATACTAACCCACTTCCATTCCGGAATATTCAAGGGCTGCAGTAATCCATAGGGCTACTCATTCTCAAACTTATATTCGTCATTTTATTTCTCGGAGCTAATTTTAGTTCACTTTTATTCCCTAAGGAACAATATTAACTATTCACAGTTGGGTTTCTGCACCGTTTTTAACGAAATGCACTATGAATTACTAACTGTGCAATGTTTGCACACAAAATCGTAAAACTTCTAAACTTATCATTTTTGGTCTAAACATGACTTGTTTAGCATATAATGGACTTCCATATACTTATTACATCAATCTTATTACTGATAATACCCTTTCCTTTCTAATTGTATATCAGTCTTCTCACTGAAAATATAATTTCATTGAAACATCAATGCATCAGCCTTTCTACTGATAATATAATTCACAATTTATTGTACATCAGTCCTTGCACTGATAATACAATATACGAATTCTACTGACCAGAGAAACTGCACTCTATGAATTACACAAGGAATCTCCTTGATACATACCAAATGAAAAACATAACATCATAACTAATACTCTGGTTAATTATTCAAGGGCTCTCCCCAAGAATAGCTAACTGACATGTCTCACATGTCTAGTGTGACTCCGAGGGTCAAGCCATAGGCAATCAACACAAACTGTAGTATGAAAATAACTCCCAGGGTCAAAGCCATAGGCAGTCTACATACCAAAGTCACTGGCCAGGATTCTCATAACATACATCATCATAACATCAAAAATCATATAATATTTATATGAATGTGAATGAATGCACATATACAACATATCAAACACTTATTCATAAACTGAGCAATCTTTTTCTTCATACCAGACCACCAGAAATTTGGTTTCATGGCCTGATACATCTTGGTAGCAATAGGATGAATAGTGTACTTACCCATATGGGCCTTAGTTAACACCTCATCCACTATCTGACATTTCAGAACAATGATCCAATCTTATTATACTTAACACCGAGCTTATCAGCGAATACAAAGTCCTTTTCTTTCATAGACTGAACTCTTTCATCAAATAATTGAGCCTCTTTAATCCGCTCTATTAACGAGTTCAGTACTACAGTAGAAGTCAACAAATACGAATTATCCTCTGAACTGACAGGAGTGTTGAAAGCTCTAAACTTTTCAATCAAATCATACTCTGAAATCATCAAATTAGCCATACAGACTGCCTTCTTGCTTAAGGCATCGGCTACCACATTGGCTTTACCTGGGTGATATTACAATTCAAATCATAATATTTCAGAATTTTCACCCATCAGCTTTGCCTCATATTCAACTCTTTCTAATCAAATAGATACTTTAAACTTTTGTTGTCACTGTAGACAACAAAATCGGCACCGTATAGAAAGTGTCGCCAGATTTTCAATGCGAACACTACGGCCGCCCACTCAAGATCATGTGTTGGATAATTCTCTTCATGCAGTTTTTAACTGCCAAGAAACATAATCAACCATCTGACGTTGCTGCATCAAAACATAGCCTATTCCAATCTTAGAAACATCACAATATATTTCAAATTTACCTGCAGGATCAGGCAAAATGAATACCATAGTGGTACTTAACTTCCTTTTTAATTCCTGAAAACTCACTTCACATTCTTGGGTCCACACAAATGGATTCCCTTTACGGTTAACCGTGTTAAAGGTAGTACCATCAGTGAAAATCCCTCAATATAACGCCTATTATATCCAGCCAAACCAAGAAAACTCCTTATCTATGTAATGTTTTTAGGATGTTCTCAATCTAACACTGCTTCAATCTTACTCGGTCCACTGTCACTCCTTCAGATGAAATTATATGGCCCAGAAATTGTATCTCGAAAAGCCATAAATCACACTTTGATGGCTTAGCATACAACTGATGCTCTCCCAGAATCTGCAGAACAACTCTCAAATGCTCAGAATGCTCTTCTTTGCTCTTTGGATATATTATTATGTCATCAATAAAGATAACCACAAACTGATCTAAATAGGCTTTAAAGACTCGATTCAATATAACTCATGAAAACAGTCGGTGCATTTGTAAGCCCAAACGAAATAACCAGATACTCATAGTGCCCATATCTGGACTTGAAAACTGTCTTCGAAACATCATCCGACTTTATCTGGATCTGACGATACCATGACTGGAGATCAATCCTAGAAAATACAGTCGCATCACGCAACTAATCACACTAAGGAATGAGTTAGCAAAGCTCACACTCAGTGATCACACATGCATTATACAGCACTCCAAGAAAACACTCAAGAACTTCCAACTTCAAATATCTTATGCTATATATCATGTAACTCCCTAGAGCAACTGCTCTGATACCATAAATGTAACATCCCCGTCTCGAGCCGGTTCAATTAACATACATATGATACAAACAGAAACAACGGAAGACTTAACTTACGAAAACACGAGCTAACTTTTTCTTTTATTTTTCATTAATCTTAATTTACATGATATCTCACATTGCATACTTCACATAATTTAATTCGTATTTGATGAAGACGAAAATCGGGCAGAGTAACCTCTGTAAATTGGAACACTGGGGATTTGCCAATCCCACTCTCAAAGGTTCCTGATAAACAGTTTATACCATATATAATTTCAGAAATACCAGATATCGATAAAGGACTTTATACCCATCCATGGGTGCATGCATAACTGGCTCTGTGCCACTATGTCTAACAGCATACATATCTCAGCACGTGCATATATCTGAAACCTCTAGCCACGATAGTGTCCTTGTCCCGTAAGGCTCTCCGGTTAACTATTTCCTGAAATCATATCCCTCAAACGGGGTTAGAGACGAATCTCTAGTAAGCTCCAGGTTTATAGAGAACTCTCCATACCCTGGACTCACTTCTTGCATGACAGTTAGATACATAATATACAAAACATCATATATCATACTATACTGAACATATCTCATATAACATATCATGAAATCCAATATCATAACTAAACAAAGCATATACACAAATCTTATCAGAGACGTACGTAGTCATTCCCAAGGGATGACCCCGAGCGGAAATCAACGCACGTAACAAATATCTTTTACAAAAATCATCACAATACTCACATCAAAACAAAACATGTTATCTCAGAGACGTACGCAATCATTCCCAAGGGATGACCCCAAGTGAAAATCAACGTACGTAACAAATATCCTTTACAAAAACATTACAATAATCATATCAGAACAAAACATATCATATAAGAACAAAACATATCATATCAGAGATGTACATAGTAATTCCGAAAGGATGACCCCAAACGGAAATCATCGTACGTGTTCCCAAGAGAGGACCCTAAGCGGAACCAGAACATATCAAAGGCGTACACCGTCAATCTCAGGGGAAACCCTAAGAAGACATCAGTGTACTAGACAATCAATGGCCAAAGATCAATACAGAACAGAGTGTACACAATCAATCCCAAGGGAGGACCCCAAGCGAAAATTAGTGCACATGTTCCCAAGGGAGGACCCCAAGTGGAATCAAAAACATATCAGAGATCATTACAGAAATCATATCAAAACATATCAAATCACATCATCATATAGTTCTATATGAATGCATCTATATCATATATCTTATATATATCATACAACCTAACCACAATCTGTATACTATGGCGGAACACAAAGTAGGAGCGAACCCCATAATCATAGAGCTTACCTCTCAAAGCTGTATAGATAGCCTACCCGACAACCGAGTTACCAAGCCTCCTCTGATGTAGGATCCTCAACAAGACTCTTAAGCGCAACTAAAATAGAGAATCCATACAAATATCAATAAAATGGTTCAAAGCCAAGTTGTTAACCAGACACACCATTTATTGATTTCATCTTTTACTTATCAAATATTTCCTAACTATTAATACATACGGTAATGTTCATCTCTACAGTACTATTCATGTATACGTCATTATTCACGTATACGATACTATTCATGTATACGTTACTATTCAGGTATACAACACTATTCACGTATACAGTATACTAAATTTTCCAAATACATGTTCACGGTTAAAATTCTCATCCGAACACTTTTCTCAACATGAGCTAAGCCTCAATCAAGCTCTAACATGCTCAATCAAACCAAACTTTCAAAATGCAAAACTAAATCAAATCTTCCTCAAAACTCAAAGAAAACTAGGATTTCTGAACATAAACTTACTTAGAATGAAGGGGAAAGCTTACTTCAAGCTCCATCAAAATCAGCATTTTCCAGGAAATCTAAATTTTAGAGGAAGAATATCTCTCTCCATAGTGAAATCCACCCAGAAATACTGGTACCAATAGATTCCTCTCGAAATTTCTCACAAGATTGGATTTGGAACGGAGTGATTTGGAGGTCTCTAGCTCAAGTTATGAATTTTGAAAGATTTTTATTCAAAACCTCCAATTTCAATCTCTTCACTTCTGTCTCTCTGTCGATTACGCGAGGAAAACACAAATTTAAGAAGATGAATAGTGACTCCTTAGTCACTTAAGTCAGTTCACTTTACTAGCGGGTATAAGTTTATCTATCTACATACCTGCATTCATTACCAAACTTCACCCAATAGACTAGAATATTTTTCTAGTCACTTTTCTATATTTACTTTTACTTTTTGGATAACTTTATTTACCCGCATTTATTTCACTTAACTGTCATTTTAACTCTTTTACAACCAAATGTGACTTTATTTCTTTTTCTTTATAATTATCCTTCCATATTAAATCTATAATAAAATGTGAGGGTCATTATAAACTCCGCCTTTGGGACCTCGCCGACGGCTCCTCCCTCCGCCGCTTCATCGGCCACAAAAAGGAAGTGCTTTCCGTTGCGTTCTCCATGGATTACAACCGTCAGAACGCGTCGGCATCTCGCGACCGCACGATCAAGCTCTGGAACATTCGTGGCGAGTGCAAGTACACCGTTGAAGAGAGAGACAGAGATGGCAAACAAAAACGGAGACAAAGACGATGTGAATATTGCCATTGGGTCAATTGAATGTAATTTTGGCTATGTTTTCAATAACTTTTAAAAATAAAGGGTTATTTCTAAAAAGGTTATTTCTAAAAGGGTTATTTTGTAATTTTAATAAATTTTTCCATCAACATTTTATCTTCAACCAAACACACATTCAGGAATTTCGCTCAATTTTTCCGGTATTATTTTGTCCAACCAAACAACATTTTTTAAACTTTTTATATAACTCACTTTCCCAGCAGATCCCTAGTAATTACATTTTCCTAGTAAAACAAAACTTTCACCTGAACCAAACACCCCCATAAACCATAGGTGACTCTGAAATCCTTTCGTGTTTGGGCTTAACTGACTAGCCATTTTCAAGCATGGCTCATATTGGAATTCATAGTCGCAAAAGGAACAACGATTGAGTAGCTCTCGCAGCCTATGCTGACAAAGAAGACCCAGTAATTAAAAACAATGCAAACTTTCGGGATAAATTTTCACTTCTTTTGTAAATTACAACCACTTAAATTATAGGGAAAAACTATTGTTATGAATATAAGAGTAGTTTTATCTCCAATAGATTCATCGAAAACCATGACACTATTTTTTTTTGTAAATGGTGGACTCTGCCACACGTGTGTCTATAATATGAGAGATCTTCTCATGTAACATGAGATTAGATGAACCCTAAATTATAATACATAACCTTACATGGAATAAAAAATAAAGAAATTGCCAAAAAAAATAATGTAAATACAATTAGGTGAGTTCATGTCTTATAATTTAAATAAGTGAAACATGTATGATTTTATGTGGGTCCATTTTGTTACATATGATTAATATTCATATTATGTTTTTATCTGGGTGCAGTTCAAAATCAAGTGTTGAAGAACTTATGCCCATTGGAACCCTTTTTAAATCTAATTTGGATTCCCAAAGTTAAATTTTTCTTTTTTGCAAATTTTGTTACATGCATGCTCTTCATAAATTATGGTGTTTGGTATGAAAGAATCACAATTGGATGGCCAATCAATGCCTGTTATTTGCTCAGCTGAAAGAAATAGATATGATGATGATGTGGAAACCCTTGTGTTTGGTCAATTAAAATCTTTAACGGTTGAGTTGCATTTCTCTCAAACTCTAGATATCAGAATAAGAAAATAAAGTTTAGTGGGTGGAATCAAATTTCATGGAATTAAAATATGATTGAAAGTTGTATCATTCCATATCTACTGTTTAGTTTAGTTGACTCTTTTTTTTCAATATATGAAATTAAATCGTATGACCTTACCACTTTGTTTTTGAGACAAAAAAGAAATAAAGTGAAAAGCATGTGTAATGCATCAGATTTCAACAAAGAAATGAAAAAATCACTTCCTCAGAGCTAATCCTTGAAAATAATGCAAGAGAATGTGCAAACTTATTTGATTCTCTGTGGAAATCTTTTATGTTGCAGAAGCGAAACTCTTGAATCATCATATAATAAACAGTCTTGTGCAATTTTGCCGAGTGGCATATATGTCAATTTTGCCTCATTAAGATCATGAAAACATAATTTGATGCGTTTTGTTATTCTAGAAAACAGAAAGTACATACAACTTCTGAGAAAACCACTGTTAGCCCTTTTCCTTGTTTTTGAATCATTCCTTCATCGGGAGAAATATTCTTTTATCCGGAAAATAATTATTACTTGAATGTAGTGAGAAATATATTTTACTGAATTGTTAATAAAAAGCTGTTTGGTAGACTCATATTTTCCCGAAAAGATGAAGTTAATTTTATTAAATTTGTGTTTGGTTGGTTATGAAATATTAGTGGGATGTGAGGTTATTTTACCAAAATAACCCCACATTTACCCTTTTATTCAAATAACGAATGCAAGCCACTCCACTAATGGTACAGAGGCCAGAAGGTTGCTTCCTCCATATGTTCACGCAAAGAACATCTAGAAGCTAGCTTTTGTCTTATAAGCAACCAGTTCCGTTCCAAGTGACATGGCTTTTCACTATTCCTTATTCCTTTCCAGATAAGGTTGCTCATCCAGCCCAGTGGATCCATTGTTTATGCGGCAGTGCGATGTAGCTAAAAAGTGGAATTGCTGAAGACAATCTGAGACCAGTGGCGGACCCAGGATATTATGTTTATGTCCGCACATTTAGTGACGGGTGCCCCCGAAATTTTTTTTGTAAAGAAAGTTTAAATCAATGCTTTATGTACAAGGTTATGAACTCGCTCATAATCTAGTTGCTTCCAAAACAAGCTGCAGGCAATAGTTTGACCAATCATCTCCCTAAATGTTACCAATCCTCCAAAACAAATATGAGAATAAACTCCAGTACATTCATACATCATCATTCTATTTATAATGGTGAATAAAAAAATCAATATTACCTGTACAGAAGGGAAAGCTCTTATATCTAGAGATTAACTTATTTGAAAATGTCACCTCTGCAACCAATCCTCTCTTTTTAAGCCAGAATATAGCATCAAAGCTAAAAGCAAATCGCAATAAAAAAAAGTAGTATATGAAACATGAATTAAAGCAAAAATGAATAGAACAACACAATAAAAAATACCAGATAACAACAAAAATAATAGAAGCTAATACCACATTGGCAGTAGAATATGACAAAAGCATTCTTCGATTTTTCATTCTTTGAAAATATTGCATTATAACTTCATCATCAATATTATCAAACATATCACGTTCAACATAAGTTAGCATGCATGCGTTAAACCAATCATCACTTATCCGATTGCGCAACTTATCCTTAACAAAAGTCATTGCAGAAAAAACTCGTTCAACACTAGCAGTTGCTACCGGTAGAACGAGTGTCAACTTTATCAACAAATAAACCAATGGATAAACAATATCCTTTCTCTTCTCAACCATCTTCAAAGCAAGGTCAGAAATTCTTTTTGAATTGACAAAATCAGAATCAGCTCTTACATCAACAATAAAATTACCAAGACTTGAAGAAAGAAAAGGAATATCTGCAAGCTCATTAAACTCCAAAGGATAAAATCTAGCAAACTCAATCAACTTTTCTTTGTTAAAACTAGCAAATGAATCACGAGGGTCAAGACAACTCAACCACTCAAGCAACTTGGTATTGACATTATCAAATCGATCACCCAACTCTTGAACCTGAGTATCTATCACTCTATTAAATAACTCCACCTTAAAGTAGTGCAAGAATGTGAATGATTCCAATCTCCGTCTTGATCTCCCTTTAGGATAATAAACATCCTCCATATTTGGAATGTCAATATCATATTTATTTGCAAAAATGTTCGTTTCTTGAAGCAATTCATCAAAACCATTATCTCTCACCTCTTGTAAACGAGACTTGACAACCTTCACTAAACCAATTGCATTTAAAAGATCTTGATCTTTTCTTTGTAATGCTTGTGGTGGTACACTTTGTCTTTGAGATTGAGGAGAATTTTCCACAATTGAAACATTTTGTCTCTGAGGTTCATAGGATTCGGTTTCTGTATTTGTGCATTTTTGACGTTTGAAATAAGATTGTATCCGTGACAAATCATAATATATACTTCAATCAATTATACTCATTATGTTATTGAAACAATGACAACCTAAAAATCCAAAGTAAATATAAATTATACCATTTGTTGTTATTAAAATAATTATAAAAAAATTAAAAAAATATAAAAAGTTACCTTTCTTTGAGACTTGTCGAATTATTATGAACCTACAATTGTTTATGCTCTCAATGTTTCAACATCATGATAAAATTTTTACTTCCACTTCAAAAGTAAAGCTTTGGAGAATCAACCAAAGTTATCAACCAAAACCTGTGAGGGTACAGAAAAAAAACCACAAAAAGTTAGTACTTTTTTATCCCAAATAAATATTATAGCTCGAGTTGCAAATATATATGTTTTACCATTTATATAGTATTGTCAAATATTATAGCTTCAATAGAAAACTATATAGTTTTAAGATTAACAACTTATTTCCTCTTTGAGAAATGAAACCAAGTGATACACATTTCCTAATTTGTACAGCAATACAATAGAAAACATGTTTTGCAAGAAATTCTAATTGAATAAAAAAAGCAAGATTGATGAACAGATATCGTCAAAGAAATAAATCATTAAATTTTAAGACATAGAAGCACTTTCACAATTAAAATAAATTGGGATTAAAATTACAAAACTACAAAAGCATAAAAGCACTTTTACAATTACCCAAGGGCTCACGAAAAACATAGGAACATGTGTAAAATAAATTGGGATTAAAATTACAAAACTACAAAAGCACTTTCACAATTACAACCTGTAATGAAGGTGGCTTCATATCTGGAAAACTTTTCATGAAATTTCGGGTATAGAATGTTGCTAAAGCACTGCACATGATACTATCAATTATTAGCACGTCTTTTCTAACTAAATGCATTTTGTCAAAGAAAGTGAGAAGAATTAATTTACAAATTAAAGAATTCAGAATTAAAGCAGAAAGGGGAATTCACATTGGGAAACCACACAGAAACACCATTATCCAAGCAGTTAAAGTCAAATTAGTAGGGGAAATCCACAAGATAAACAACTCCAGAGAATCTTTGCAAGCATCACAAGAACCAGACATGGAAAGCCTACTTCTAGGCGGAACTGCAAAAATTTTGTTTTTTGATTTTTTGTTTTTGTTTTTTTCAGATTTTTGGTTTGGGTACGGAGGGCAAAGGGGGCTGCTCCGCCACTTCCATTCGGATCTCCGGCGAGTCTATCCCTAGTTTATTCACACGCGCACAGAAGCAAAATTTGAAAACAAAAAAACTGCACAAAACCATCTCCGAGTTACCTTTGTGAGAAGTCGAGAAGTGGGTAGGTTTTGGTTTATCAGAGGCAGTGATGGCCAGATTCAGGTGCAGCACCACTGTGTCGGCTCCTCAAAACGGCGTCGCTCCTGCTCCGAACGCGATCTTGATCAGAATGTGAACGAGTCGCTCCTGCTCCGAGTCACAGCTCTACGATATGTTCGACTGAGCAAAATGAGCAAGAGAGAAAGTAAA